TCTCCTGTCGTGCCTCGGCAGCTGGAGCTGCAGCAGCCGCCCCGCGCTTGGGACCCACGTCCCTTGCAGAGACTGCAGGTCTTGGCTTTTTTGGAGGGATTGTCTTCCTGTAGGGAGTCTTCAAAACAAATGTCTCATTTTGCATGTTTTTCTTCCATAGCTCGGTTGTGATGGAGACTCCGGAGCAAAACCCTCTGTGCAGTTCCCAGCCTTTCGGGAGAGCATTAAGGGATTTCACAGAGAAGCAGCGGGAAGGATCCAAGGTAAGGACGGCGAGTCTTGACTGAGCATCGCCCCGAAGCGCTTTGGGAGCCGGGGATGCAGCGGGGTGGTTTTGAGCAAGGCGATGGCTGCGCCGTCGGGCTCGTTGGGAGCCCGGGTGGCAGGAGCAGGGATGCTCCTCGGGTCTCTCCTCCCAGTTCCCGGCAGCAGGGCCAGTGGTGCCACCAGCGCATCCCACCGGCTCCGGGTGCAGCCCCACGTCCGCCCAGGGAGCGTTGGAGGTGCTCGGGGTCCGTGTTACAGGAACAAACAAGTTAGTGGGAGCAACCCATCGCAGCGTGAAAGCAGCCGGGGAAAGAACGGTTGCAGAAAAGAAGCCGGAATGTTTTTAACAAAATTGCGATTTTCTACAAGAGCTCTTTCAGAAACTTCACAAAATGAAAAGGAATTTGGATTACTGGGCTTTTTTGTTGCAGATTTGGAAGAAGTTTGTTTACCTTTTCAGCACAGGCTGTTCCTGCAATCCTGCACGCTGCAGCACGGTACCCTCTATGCCATGTTGGAGTTTCCCCTAGTTTCATTTCCTCAGTTAAAAACACTTAAATTAGTTTTCTAGTGATGTTGTACCAGTTAAGTTACTTTAAATAGCGGGGTACCTATTTCTGGAGCTGCTGTTGTTGCTTGTTCTGGCTTTATTCAGAGGAATCCTTATTCTTATCTCTCTCTTCCTTCACCTTAGTCCAGTAATGATCTTTCTAATAGAACAAAAAGCCTCTATCTTAAAATGTTTCTACTGCGTTTTACAGTGGACGCAGCTGCAAAGAGAGGTTTATAACTTTGAGTTTGAGGTTGGCTCGGTCGGGGCCGGGGTTCCCCGCTGCCCGGACGTGCTGCTGCAGTTCCCCAGCGCTTGCTGCGGGGCTGCTCTCGTTTCTGGCTTATTTCCTTGCCGGATTAGAAGCAGATTGCAAAGAGACTATT